CATCTTATATGTATGGAAGCCAGTTTCCGCCACTGAATAAAAAATAAAAAGGGTAATTGCGACTTTTTATCTCACAATTCTGACTTTTTTCTCAGAAACTCGCAATTCTGAGAAATAAAGTCAGAATTGCGAGTTTTTATCTCGCAATTGTGACTTTGTATCTCGCAATTCTGACTTTATAACTCGCAATTGTGAGTTTATATCACACAATTCTGAGAAAAAAAATCTGAATTGTGAGTTTATATCTCGTAATTCTGTAAAAAAAAAAATCTGAATTGTGTGATAAAAAGTAGCAATAAACTTTTTGTATTTTTTATTCAGTGGCGGAAACGGACTTCCATATATATGTCATATGTAAACCCCAATAAATTAAAATGTATTAATTTTCCTTGAGATGGCACAATGCATTTTATTTACTTTTAAATATGTTATAATGTTAAAAATCATACAGACATTTACTTTAAAAATCACTTTATCAAACTGGAAAAGGCAGCCGCTTCATAGAACTGTCCTGTAATGGATTTTGGATGTACTTGAAACATCATCATGTGGTCATGTGGCTTTCCTTGTGGTCATGAGCTCTGTGTGTGTGTGTGTGTGTGTGTGTGTGGTCAGGTCGTCGAGAGAGATGGGCAGTGGAGAGAAGCTGGAGCTGAAGATGACTAACATCGGTGCAGATGTGCTGGAGCTGCTGCTGGAGTTTGTCTACACCGGCTCGCTGGTCATCCACTCGGCCAACGCCAAAACCCTACTGGAGGCCGCCAACAAGTTTCAGTTCAACACCTTCTGCAAAGTCTGCGTGTCTTTCTTAGGTGCGTAACTCATAAGATCCCAGCGTCCATCAGATGGAGTCATGTACACGCTGTATGATGTATTCTTTCATTTGTATAAAGGTCAGAGAACAATTGCATTGAAATGTCAAACCTGATGTCACAATCTCATCCAGCATTGATTATACCGATCAATACCAAATATAGAGGAGGTTCAGATGACATGTAGGCGCCCGATGTGACCACCAGAGTGAGGAAAGGTCTGGCAGGAGATGAGGAACAATTTAGGCCGAGAAAGTATATGTGTTTCTTCACTTTGAAACCTGTGAACTTTTAGACAACAAACCCCCTTAAAATGACAGTGGACAAATTAAACTAGTGTGAGTATAGAACTAAGTTTATAGATTAAAATAGACTGGTCTTGCTAAAGCTAATTTCATAGATTTTTATGTATCGTAAATCATATTTTCACCCTTTTTAAATAATATCACAAAATTAGGTTGTGTAGGTTGAAGTGTCACACAATAAAATGTATTCTGTTCACAGATAATATTTACCTTAATTTTTCTTTTCTTTCTTCTTCTATCTTAAGCTCTCCAGTCATACTTTGTATAAAAAATGTACACTTCCATTCAACAAATTGGGGTCAGTGAGATCTTCTTTTTAAAGAAATTAATATTTTTATTCAATGAGGACACATTAAACTGATCAAAGGGCACAGTAAAGACATTTATAATGTTGCTAAATATTTCTATTTCACATAAATGCTGTTCTTTTGAACTTTCTATTAATCAAAGAAACAAAGAAAAAAATGAATTACAGCTTTTATAAAAATATGAAGTAGCACAACTGTTTTCAACATTGATGATAATAATAATAAATGTCTCTTGAGCAGCAAATCAGCATATTAGATTGATTTCTGAAGGATCACGTGACACTGAAGACTGGAGTAATGATGCTGAAAATTCAGCTTTGAATCACAGGAATAAATTACATTTTAAAATATATTAAAATACAAAACATAATTTTTTTATTGTAAAAATATTTCAAAATATTACCGTTTTTATATGGAGCCAGATCGGCCTCAAAAATAATACATAAAATACTGTTCTTTTTAGCAGCATCATATGACCCCTTTAAGAAACTTTTTTTTTTTCGTTCATACAATGGAAGTCATTGCTAACCAAAACAGCTTTGATACCAACAGTCTGCAAAATACCTTCTTTTATGTTCCACAGAAGAAAGTAAGTCATTAAGGTTTGAGTAAATGATTACTTAATTTAAACATTTAGGTTGAATTATCCCTTTACAGTTGTTATTTTTTAATGAAGTAATACTCTAAATAAGAAACTAAAACTGCCAGCAGGTTGCGGTAATGAGTCATTAATTCATTCGATTCGTTCAAACGGCTGATTCATTCAGGAATGAAGTAAACGGCTCTCTTTATGAATGGGCCTTTGAATCATTGATTCACCCGATTCGTTCAAAATGCAGATTCATTCAGAAATGAATCACCACTGTGTTGCTCGGAGACGCACAACAATTCTGCTGTGGCTTTATAGGTAATATTTTGTCGGCAAAACTGAGCAAAAACAGACAATATTGGGTTTAAATTATAACAGTATTAACTTCCTGTTTACTGAACTTGTTGTATAAAATCACATTTGCACTTGTTGTATTCGAGACAAAAACAGCACTCGTGTGATATAGCTTATCATATGATAAAAAAACATGAGAAAAACTCATACAGGAGCATTTTTGCCCCAATATCCTGAATTTCGGGGCATACCTGCAATTATGAAGTTGTTGTCCTGCGTCATATTTGTCAACAGTCAACTGTATGAA